AAAAACATAAATTATAGCCGAGTACAATGATATTTATATTTAAACATTTTATTCAGATCGGATCACTATTGCATATACATAAGTGTCATACAAACTGATGAAAAAATTAAACTCCTTCTAAGAACAATTTTTTCATTTGAAAAGTTGTCTTCGCAAAATTTGGTATAAAGTATTTCCCAAAGGAAAGCTACAATCTCCGCGGAAACTGTTCAGATCGACTTACTATAGCATATAGCTGTCATACAAACACTCGATCAATATCAAGGTAAATATATTCTTATACACTTCTTTAACATAAGAAATGCACCTGTGAAGCGTTGTCTGTTGATTTTAATCTTTCACAACATGCTTTTATATCACCGCCGATTCATCTTCATAAAAATGAATAATGAAATCTGACTAAGCTTTAAAGTCTATTTAACTGACCTAGTTCTCAATGTAACAGTGATATATGTATGATTTTTTATTGAACATATTATTTGAAATATTTTTCGAAAAATTGCAGAAAGTGGCACGATGCGATAAACTGATAACACTAACTTAGTTAGGTGGCACAACAATCAAGTCGCTTATTCAAGTGCCAATGCTCAATCTCAATACGCAGACAGCGTATGAATAATTGCGCATTTAAAATATAAAACAAAAACTCGAAAATCGATGCAGGAAAGTACGGCACTAAAGTTAAAAAATACTTAAATTATGTACAAAATACAATGACAAGTTTGACAGCCGCGCACTGCATGCGTGAGCTTATGCTTTGCTACATATTCATATGCTTAGGCTTGCTACGCCTGCAAGTTTATTTACGAGCCACTAAGTCCGCCTTATGCCAAAACAAAATATGACTCCAAAACTTTAATAAGTAAGTGTAAACAATGCGATGTAATCGGAAAAATTTTACGCTTTATCAGCAAAACGCGTCCATGTACTCCACCCGCGTCCCCAACACATGCGCAAACACTCTACATACGAACATAAATCTCAACGCCGGAGCATGCCGCTGATATTACAGCAATACAGAAATGTCAGAAATGCACTTCAAGTTGTTTGTGCTCGAGTGTGTGTGTGTGTGTGTGTCGGCAGGCATGGCTTCAATGCATTCTACCAAAAGATGTGTGTATGTTTGCGCATACATGTGTGCGTGCCCCGTGTGTGTTTTGGAATTAAGTGTGCATTTTTCGACAACTTGCTTGATATGCACTCATAAAGCAGCGCTCATAAACAAGCAATGAGATATGAAAGGCGCACATAATCATCCACACACATACAAACACTCATGCAGAAGTCATACATACATGCAGTTATAAATATTTCAAGCGGCGAATCTGATGCTTATCCAGTTTACAAGCAGCGACCAGGTAAAATATCTACCTTCATATATTTTTATTATTTTTGTTTTTCATATTTATTGTATTTGTTTTTGCTTCATATTTATTTAACTTTCTTCGGTTAACACTTGAGTCAATAATAACATACACACATATTTATTTGTTAATGTACATGTTTGTGTGTATGTAGAGCCCCGATTTTTACTGGTTTTTGTCGAATTAAATGTTCCACTTTTGACATCACAGCCAACAGAGCAGACACATGCTCAGAGTAAAACACAGAGCAAATACAGAATTTATTAAAAAATGATACGAAATTAAAGTGATCAAACAGACAGCGTTGAAAACGTAAATATATATCTGCATGTATATGTTGTGTGTGTGTTTATAAAGAACTGCAGGAGCTCTGCAGTGAAACATCGCACCGTTAGGAAACATACCAGTTAACTACCAGAATCTCCTTGTAAAAAGTGAACTGCTCTGAAAGTCAACAGCTTTATATTAATTTTTAGAAATTTTACTCAGACAGAGTTTAGAGTTACATCAACGATTCGGTATTTTATAAGCTAAATAGTGGAAATTTAGTTTGCAACACCTATAAGAAAACGTCAAAGACCTGACAGAGTGTGTCGTCACCTCAAATATGATACAATGTAAAAATATCGATTGATTTTTTTAGTGTTTACGACTATATCATATTCTATTTGTCATATCGTAAAATTTCAAGCTTCTGCTCTCAGATATAACCAAGATGTAACCAATATATAAGTAAGATATAACCAAGATGTAACCAATATATAACCATTTCATAACCTATATCAAAATTCTGTTTCAATGTGAGTGGATTTAATTATATCGTTTCCCTTTGTCTGTAAACTTATGAAAAGTGATGTTATGTAATTTTGCATTTTAAGTGACGATATCATATATCTTGTATAACGAAGCGGTATGACGAGCTGAGTTAATTTGGTAATGTGATGAACTAGTATGAGACTGGTGTGTTTCGAATCTAACAATTCACATTTTTTGTTTAGAAAAAGGCCCGAAGTTCGCTGACAGTTAGGCTAGTTTATGATTTGTGTCTGTAGACATTTTAGGCACCCTTTCTCATACTTATATATACAGTATTATATTCTGGAAAGTTCCAGTTCACATGGATTTTATTTTGAGAACTTGGCGTATTTATATTGAGATCATATGACGGCAAGTGTAGATTTGTGAGCCTTCAGAATTCATCTGAAGGATATTTTTATGTAATTTTTATATAAATAAATTTTTAAACCCCAAAAATGTTCAATTTCATTTAAATAAATTTAAATAATAATTGTACTACAAACTATTGTTACTTTCATTGTCCTACTTGAAAGTGTATCCTAAAATACAGTGCTTTTAAATAATATTTTTAATGTTTACAAAAAACAACAACCAATTGTACCCATACTTTTGAGTTGCCTTGAGACCCCAAATCGATTAACCTAAATTTCAACTTCACACATTACCAAATAAAGCTTTAAAATATTGACTACTGTATTAAAATTTATAAAAAAAAAGTAAACAAAGAAATTTAATTAATTACTTGCGCTATTTTTAACATAAATGTCATTATTTGTACAGTTACATGCAAGTTTGTGGCAAAGTAAATAAGCACTACAGCATTGCGGCACGAATTTTGAGCATAAAATCATAAATAAATAAAAACACAATAAAAATGTTCACTACGGCCACAGGTGGTGAAGAGCAATCAAAGTGTCACACACACACCTACATAGCTATACAGCGCTTAAGTTGCGGGTGATTATTAGTAAAGGGTATTAACTGCTTGCACTTATCGCGCTTAGTAAGTATTGTGCACATAGCGCTGACTATTTTCGTTTGTATATCCGAGTCTCCACAAGCACACATACATATTCTACTGGAGCATACAAAATTTACTATAGCCGAAAATGGCTGTGGCAGCGTTCGAATCTGCCCCACAAACTGAACCCTAATAAATGCAAGCAAATAAGATACTACAACAAAATGTAAACAAAATGCACACCGTTAAACAATACAAATACAGTGTTTGAAATAAAAAATAAAAAAAATATTAAGCAGCGATGGCGAGCAGCCGTACAATAGAGGTAGCGACAGCCAGTGACAGTCAGCGAGTCGCTAGCTGCCGAACTGCGGCATGATGCTGATAAGATAAAGAAATGCAAGGGAAGACTTCTTATGCCCAGAACAGAGAATATTATGTTTGTAACAAAGTTTTCAACACTCAGATGGAACGATGGAGATCCTATTAGATATTTCATCAAGAGGAGCTGAGTCGATACTGTCTGTACATATGCGAAGAAGTCTCCCAATTGTTGAGATATCGATCTGAAATTTTGCAAACATCTTTCTCACTCCAAGGAGCTGCTCATTTGTCGGAATCGGACTATTATAACATACAGCTGCCATACAAACTGAGCTTTTAAAATCAAATTCTTGTATTGGAATTTTTTTTTTTTTAGAAGATATCTTCATGAATTTTAATATATTACTACATATTACCTAAGACAATAATGCAATCTGTGAAGAAATTGATCCATCAACTGATCCATCAAAAGCACATACTTTATGGAAAAACTTGTTTATTTCTGAATGTGTTTTCTTATTTTGCATATACATAGAATATACATATTCACACATTATTTACTATATATGAACACAAATGCATATGGAAGCGTTTGAGCTCCTTCTAAAGACAATAATAACACCATCCAACACCTACAATGCAGCTGAGTAAGATATATGAGTTGCTTGCGTGCGTAAAGTTCCACAAAAGCGGCGAAATTCCCCATATGCATATGAGCCACTTTGCTATTGTTGTAGCTATACATTTCGCTATTACTGAACTGCCGTTCTAGTAGCTATGCACATTTAGAACAGGCAAGATTAATTGCATTTGTTGGCGCGAAAACTCCAAATGAGCGCCAGACAGTGCCGCATACCGCAGCAGAGAAGATTGCAAAACACACAAAAATCAGTTAACCAAAAATAAAAATTAAAAAGCAGTAAAAAAGAAGGCACGTAAAAATAGAAGACCCCATTTATGGTACGGTTCACATATTAAAATGTGTGAGCCGCAACAAGCATTAGGTGACGTCAGTATGCGTTGCACGTACGAAACGGAGTGAACTATGGACACCAGCGCTTGCATACCAATTAAGCGCCGCGCAAGCGCACACTTGTGTCAGTGTATATGTGTATAGCTATAAGTGGATATTGATGGTTGTATTGATTTTGCATTTGCCTATAGCGAATTGCACGAAAGCTGTGTGTAAATATGTAAGCATTTGCTTTGGAAAAGGTATTGGGGCTGACTTCTTGCAAGCATACCAGCAGTCAGACAGCCAGTAGACAGTTCATGTGAATCGCGCAGTTGTGCGCGTATGTGTGTATTTAATGACAGAAGCCACCGGAGCGCAAGGCGAAATAATATTGATTTGCGCTTGACAACACATAAATTGGCTTTACTTATTTATGCCTTGACAAGTGAAATCTTTTCCACAAACTGAAACGAGGTGTCAGCGCGAAACGCATAAAAGCAATAAATAATGAAATGTGTAATGATTTGTTTCACTTCATCTTCTGTTTTTGGAATTACATGTATTTTTTTTTTTTTTTTTGGTGCTTGAGCAAACTTACTTTTTCCCTTCACAAACTCCGTATGATTGTTCTCATGGTTTTGCGCAAGCGCCGCTGCGCCGTTAACGCCACCCACACCATTGCCGCCCATGCTGTTGTGACGCTTGCGCGCCGCTTGCTGTGAGCCGCGATAGCGTTCCGCCCGGCCATTTTTACCGCCACCGCCACCACCCTGTCGGGGATTGCGCGCCGCTAGCGCCGTCTCGACGACGCAGCCGGAGAAGTGCAGCAACAGCAGCAGCAGTGGCGTCAATCTCTCCAGCGTAAGTAATTGCATTTTATGCTCAACAACAACAACAACGACTACGACAGCAGGAGCGCTGACACTGCAACGGCATTCTACAGAGACGCGTAGTCCAGCGCGAAGCGTTAACGACGTTGAAGTTGAAGTTGTTTCAGTATTTTGGCTTCTCGTTTAATTTGCAGCTTTTTGGCACCAAAAAAAAATTCTTGTTTCACGAATTTCAAATTTATATTGCACTTCGTAATTAGTAGAGCACTTATTTATGTGAACACACACACATTTGCCAACAGGAAGGCGAATATTTGGTTACTCGATTTGCGCGTGCGCGGCGCGTTKGCAGTTAACTACACTACACACTGCGCGAGCTTCGTGTGCACATTTGTCGCTGGTTATGTTTGATTGCAAGTGGCTGCGGCAGCAATGCGCGGTGCGAAAGTTCGCTTTTCGTTCGTACGTCGTCAGTGTCGCACTGGCGCGGCGTTTCTGGCTTTTTGCAAACTTTTGTTGCGCTCTAAACGAGTTTCACGAGCAGCCAAGTGACTCCGCGCGAAGTTGCTGTGTGCTCGTTTAGCTGGGCAGTGGTTGGCGCATTCACTATGTACACACACACAGGCACCCTCTACCGCGGCGCTTCTTCTTTTTCAATTCGGTTTATTTGAGCTGTTTGTATGTGGCTCTGTGCCGCCGCCGATTGCGTATCTTTTGTTTGTTTTGCAAATTAATTTTTGCAACAAATAATGCGCGTTCCAATTAGTTACGTCTTTTTTTAATTTTCTTAGTATTTTACATACGAGATAACTCGTTGCGCTCAATAATTTCAGTTTTGAAAGGCGTAAAAAACTCGTCACAAATCACACTGCTTCGACTTCTCGGACATTTACAAAATTTAACTGACTTCACAGCTTGAAAACGCACACCCGCCAACACACGAATTCGAGTTTGTAACAACAACACTAACAACCCGCCAAACACAATGCACTTCACTCAATTTTTTTGTAATTTAAAACTTTTTTCCAATTTTTTATTTTTTATTTTTCTTCAGCAGAAAATTTATCAAAACACCGTCCGCGTGCGTTTCGGCCTCTGCGCGACAAAACGTTTTACTCTCAACTGAAGTTGGAAATCATTCCAAAAGTTCGGTTCGTTCGCCAACAATACCAGAAACGAGGCGAATTCAGACCAACTCACACAGATACTCACCAACACACACTCAAACACACGTATCGAAAATACAGGTAATCAAATATGAAGGCGCGAAGGTCCAAAGCAGGTAGGAAGGCAACAAAACATACACACGCCAGAGCAGCTGTAGTATTCGCCGCGATCGACAGCAACGCCGGCTTTGCTGCGGCAATAAACTAAGGAAGATACCTCCGCTTTAGTTTATACAGCAAAGAAGTGCAAATAGTTTTAGAAAACAACCTTAGCATTGGAGAGTGGGCACAATTCGAAGATCACATCACCAAACAAAAACAAATACGATCATGCCGGCGAAGCGGCGAAATTGGTGACGCTGAGCGCGCTCAGGTGGTGCGTGATTGAGCGTCGCTCACCTGAGCGCCAGTTGAGTACACAAGGCATGCTTGAGTTCACGGTTGCGCGTGTTGTGCAAGAAATCCAAATACAACCAAACACGCGCGTGTGTATGTGTGCGCATCCGTGTTGCAGACAATCCTAAAGACATTTGCTCGATCTTGAAGTTCTCGCCTTATAAGTTGAGGTGTTTTGCAGCGGCGCGTGGGTTTTCGATTTTCATGAGATTTTATTTACATTTTTTTGTTTTTACTGATTTAGGTGTTTTACATTTCGTTGTACTAAGCACTTGCTTGTAGCTTAAATTCAATATATTAAAACTAATATTCAGCTAAAACACAAAGTACAACAGTAAAATTTAAAAATATTTTAGCTTCAATCCCATTTTGGCCATTCCATTGGGTAGTCGAAAAAGTTGTTTCGTATTATGCCAATCAATGTCGTTGCAGTCGTATATCTCATATTGTGTCATATCACATGGCGCTGGAAAGTGGAGAATGCCATGCAAGCCACCAAAGAATTTTGTCAAGTTTACGAAGACAATGCAGTACGGGATGCTTGCTTTCCGGAAATTTCAATGTGAAAGATGCACCTCGCTCTGGTCGACATATCGCTGAAAAATTCTATGAAATTATGCAAAAGATTGATCAGGACCGGATCAGGATAAGTAGCCATGACATCGCTAAGGAACTTAACAATCATCATCACATGGGTTTAAACTATTTAAAAAAGCCAAAACGGCCAGAGGCCTTCATCTTCCATCAGGACAAGATTAGACCACACACATCTTTGATGACTCCTTTAATGGAGTAAAGTTGGCTTCAAGAGAAGTCTGTGAAAATTACTTGTCGCAGTTTTTCGCCGAGAAACCAGAAAAGTTTTACACTGATGGGATAATGTCTCTAGCGGAAAAATGGCAAAAAGCGGTCAACCAAAATGGTACATATTTGGTTCATTAAAGTTATTTATGAATATAAAAACAAAAGTTTAAGTTTGAAAATACTTATTCGATTAACCAATATTTACTGCTTCTAGCGTCTGCTTTCTAGAAAATATCACAAAAATCGGAATATTACTACCGAAGGCCTAGATACTTGTACTCTCTAGATTGTTAGCCCCTTCAAGAGATAAAACCTCTTAAACTAGAGTAGTAAAACTACTTCCTCTTATTGCTCTGTGGTCTTTATAGTCTATCATTCTTAATTCAGTTAAGGGCATAAGGTGTGATCAGAGTAATAACATTCTTAGCTTTAATTTGAATTTTGAACAGTGAATTTTTGAGTGAAATTTTACAACAGGTTACCGCTTTGTACTAAACAGATTTAAGGCCTATCGTAGCCAAGTCAGTAAAGATATATTTCCAAACTTTCGTCATACATCCACTTTCGAAACTTTATTGACACATAATACTATCTCGCAATCCATTATTTATTTAAAACATATGACAACACCAGAACATATCTTAAATAGACACTTGTTTGCATAGCATTTCGAGGATAATCAGACTGACGCCAGTCTACCTCTAAGCAAACAAACATCGGTATTTATTCATATGACACACGAACCTAAAAGGACAACTCAGTTGAGGTGATAAAGATCCTGCAGAAATACACAAACACTTACGTACTCACATATAAAGGCAACTGAGTGCCAGCAATTACCACGAAGAGATATTCAATACCACAGAACACACATCAGCAATTTGCATCTCTTACCTGAAATGACAGAGAGACGAAAAGAAATGAATAAAACATTACAAACAGATAACAAATAGCTAATAAATAATGAATAATGAATAATTATAAACATTCCACAAGTGGATAGCCGGTACGCAGCCGCGCAAGCCTGCTCAGGGCAGTTTAATGTGCCGAAGCGAGCTTAACAGCGACTGTCGCCGAAAGTAGCGGCAGGTATGTGCATATACAAACATAAGTACTTAACTCCATCATTCCACGAGCCGTTCTTAAACACTACAAATTAAATTTACAATCTACACGCGCGACATTCGCTCAGATGCTGCGCCGCAAAGATATGTGCCGGAATCAAATTTCATCGGCACTTCTGCTTACAATGGCCAAAGCAATGCAGCGCGATAATAAAAGCCACGAAATGAAAGATGACAACCTCCACCTGTCCGCCGTCAAACATGGGTTGCCACAAATCGCTGCACACGCGGCGTCGCCAGCAACAGGCGGTGAAGCGCCCAAATGTGGAATGACAGACAGTCAGAGCTGCGTAGCGTCGGTCAGGTAGGCAAGCGCGGCGACTTACCACCCGCTGAAAGGCCGATCCCACGCCGCTCTCCACTCGCTCCGACAGCCACGCACTCAGCCATAAACATAAAATTAATAACGTGCAATTCGAATTCCGTGAAAATCCTCGACGATTCCCAAAACAACTGCTGGCAACAGGCAGGCGAATACTGTCACTATGGTTGTTGTTGTGCCGCTAACAAAAGTCAAACTGCTCTTTGCTTGATTTTACGCTTGTTACCATATACATTGACAACGCCTTCACCTCGCCGCTGTCAGCCGAAGCAACTGTTGCTGTGTTGCAGAGCGCGCGGCAGGTGTCAGCCGTGCGGTGTGAAGTTGTACAATGTCATGTTGCATGCAACATACATATCTACATTCATGCTGCGCCATCCCTGTAGAGGCGTTGCATTGTCTTACGGCCTCTAATCCTCAGCCTATTGTTCGCACTCTGTTATTTTTCTAATGTCTTTTGACCATATTTAGTTGCACAAAATACCATCGAATTGACAACTTCTAATAGGCGAGTACGCGCAGTGAGCGCAATTGGTACATGAGTAGTTGGGCATTGTACTTGAAGTGGACTTGCATTGTGCGGCACTTGAGGCAACAAAGGCAACAGTACAACTTGAGCGGCTGGGCGCCGTGCTAGCTGGTTGAAAAGGAAAATGTTTGCAATTAAATTGCTGTGCAAAAAAAATATATATAGTACGGAACTGAAGAGGTAATACGAGCGAAGAGAATTTTCACTAAGCACAAAAGGCTTCAAGTTTAAAAATCCATGATTGAGGGCGTAAATGCGTAATATTTTTTTTTTAATTTTTACTAGTCAAAATTATTCTCGAACTAATTCTAAGCAGCAATTGTGTAGATGTAGAAATAAGATCCAAATATCGAACCAAAAAATAGCCGTGACCTAAAAACCTAACAATAATCTCTCTTTACAGTTCGGCCGAATGATTTATTAATTACTATCGGCTATCGAGTAGTTGGCGACTTAAATGTTGTGCTTTGGCTTGGAAAGCGAAGAACATCCTGGGCTATGAGGAACTTGGAATTCATAACAAAAGTTCTAAATATCATACCTAAGAACTTAGCGCCCAAGTCGCATATACGCCTCTGTATTTAGTGGAGTCCGCAAGACGGAGACGATTGTGAGCTTCCAAAAGCGGGTGAAACTATAAGTGAAGTGAAACTCTACGAACAGTCAAATTGAAGCGGGTGCTTGCCGAAAATTGTGCACAATATGAGACTAGCAGCGAGACAATAATTTTCCATCATCACATTGGTCGGCCTCATGTTGTAAACCCGGTTAAAGACTATTTGAAAAAGAGAGACTGTTAAGTGTTTCCTCACTCATCATATAGACTAGATATTGTCATTTTTTTCCTCTTTATTGGTGTAAACAAAGCTTATGCGGTTATAGCTGAGTTTACAAGACGGCAATCGTTCTTTCTCTTCGCTGGTTGACGCCAATTGGAGTTTCCAAGATTAGCCAGGTCCTTCCCCACCAGGTTTTTCCAACGGAGTGGGTGTCCTCCACTTCCTCTGCTTTCCCTTGCGGGTACTACGTCGAATACTCTCAGAGCTGGCGCGTTCTCGTCCAGGATGGATGAAACCATGTCTAAAAGTTCCCGAAAATGAGAAAAGTTCTCTGAGCGTCATTCACTTGAGAGTGGCCAGAAACGCTTCTTTTGCTTATGGCTCCAGAAACTCACGACTTCCGGTGTTAAACCAAGTATCCGCTGGGCAGCCAAAAAAACATCTGTTTGAAGGCAAGCTAAAGTAAGAGGGAGATATATCCCCTCCCCAGTGTTATGCGCTCGGTTTGGGTCCCGCCAAAATACAAATGAAAAGAAGGAAACAACCTCGAAAACCTTACCATTACTGACCAATAGTCCCCCTTACATGAAAGTGGTTCATATCAGAACAGGGTACCAAAAATTTACTTTATTCGTTCTCCGCCGTTAAGCAGCCGCATTTATCTGTGGTGGAATCCACAAATTGCCAGAACGATGGCAAAATATTAAAACTCCAAATGAGCAAAGCTTTAGATAATACAATATATGGCCTCAACCATTGTAAAACTGGGCCTGAAGCCCTATGTTTAGCAAGCAATAGGAACAAAATGAAGGATGTTAAAAAATATTTCAAAATTTGGCTCTTGGTCTATATGTACGTTGAGCATCCATCCAAGATTCACATTTATTACCTAACCTTCAACATAAACGATGTTCATTTGTATCAAAAACTGCTGTCTTTAGCTGCAAGCCATGTTTAATTATAATCGATGATCCACGGTGAAT